TACATTTGTGTGTATATATATATATATATATATATATATATATGTTCTGTGTATAAATTTTGTTGATGATCAACAAAAGTGCTTTGTTAAATATTTTTTGTTTTAATTTTCCATGAGTTTAGGCCATTTTCCAGGCTTCTAGTGAAAATTTGAAATAAATTGTCCACCATCTTCTGAGTACTTTTAGCTTTCATAAGTCAAAAAGTTGTATATATACATGTTGATAATGATTTGTTTGTATCATGAGAGCGTCATGCCATTTTTTTCCTCTTCTTTTCAAGTTTTTGTATCTTCATGCATTATGTCATTGTTTTTTTTTCCAATTATCACATTTTTGCATGTCATTCGGCCATGTTGTGTCAAAAACTACCAAAGAAAAAACAACACCTACACATAGACAATGCAAAAATAAATCTCTTCTTTTTTTGTTGTTGTTTTGCCAATGAAAACCAAAAGTACACAGAAGACATTGAACAATTTATATTCAATATTTATCCAAAAACCAAGAAAATCTTTTTTCTTTTTCTTTTTTAATCAGTATCACCCCATGCAAGGCAGTAAAGCCACTAAAACACAAGGGGTTACAGGATGTGAAAGAATTAGAAACAGAAACATTAATAATGAGCAGAAAGCAAAAAGAGTAATCAGGAGGACAGTAGATAGTGATTGACATCACATTTAAATTTTTGTAGATTAAACTTAACTGGAAAACATGAAGCCAGAAGAGAGTTCCACAAGTGAGAAGTGCAAGGAAAGAAACAGCTAACATAGAACTTATGGCTCAACTGTAATTTAATGTGATCACAATGCCAGTCTAGTATTGCACTTAAATTCATAAAGTCTAGGTCCCATAGTGAAGAGCTAATCCAAACAATTACTATGAAAGTATTTATAAAAAAGGCACAGTGAGGCAACTTTATGGTGGTGGGAAAGTGACTGAAGCCAAGCTGCCAGATCAAGACCAACAATATTGCTGATTCTTCTTTGACTCTTATCAAGGAGTTCCAGGTAAATAGCAGGGGCACCAGACCATATGTGGCAGCAATATTCTAAGCATGGGTGAATGGTAGACTTGTAGATATGTAAGATCAATTCTGGAGAGAAAAATTGTCTTGCACAACACAGTAAACTGAACTGTAGAAAAATTAAATAAAAACAAAGAACTTTCACTGGTGTTCAATCAAACTCGTGTACAAAGACATTCAAAAAATAATGAACACCATTTTTCTGTTTTTCCACATGTAGATTGTAAAACTTGATGAAATACCTCAGCCACTACCTCAGTCGTGACAACAGAAAATGTTATTGATATGCCAAAAATAACAGTTGGGACTTATAATATTTACAAGTAGATTTTGCTCATAAAAACCAACAAATATATTGCCTCTCACTGGACCCAACAGACTACCAATTGATATCCCAACTATTTATCTATACATAATCATGTTGAAGCAGTAGTGATAGCAACAAATAAGTCACTAAATAACCTCTTACCTAGACTATTAAACCAAAATAATTAATAATAATAAAAAATTAAAAGTTAAGTAATAAAATTAATGATAATTAACAATAAATAAAGATATTATAAAAAATAGTTAAATAAATAAAAAAAATAAAAACTCCCATCATGCACAGGAACAGGCATTTTTGCCACCAATTGATACAGAAATCAAATTTTTTCTGTCTTCAACTTTGAGCGCCAAATGAAGCAGATGTCCGGGGTTCCTACCAAATAAGCAAAAATCTTTTTATCCCTGTACTTTGAAAGATACAAAAATTTCTCTTAAATGTATACAAAAGCCTTTTATCACATTTGTTTACACTTATTGTGTTGTATATTGTACATGATTTGTTTGTAATTTATATGTTTCCATTGTGGGACTGATGTATTCTTAATTCCCAAACAAAACTACATATACCAGGTGTAAAAGCAAAATTGTCCATTTGTTATATTAAGCTCATGAAGGATTGAAATTAAGTTTAAATATATATATTATCCAGGATCCTTTTTCAACTTATTCGAGATGATCTTTGCCCTCTCTGACCTTCTAACTTTCTGATCTGGAGTAACAAGGTGCCTCACTGGTTTCACATACTATTTCATTTTCAAGTCTTTTTTCACTGCTCTTTGGGCTGTCATAAATGAAACTCATCTCTCACATGCCAAACGTCTTATGCATTGAGTTGGATCTTTTCTAATTAATCTCTTTATCTCTAAATTGAAATTATGATCTCTCTTCTTGTTGTAACCTGATCCAGTTTTCCTCTGTACTGTTCCATCTTTTTAAAACTTATTCAGCAATCTCTTGATGGTTCTTGTATGGACTTTGAAGATGGAAGCCAGAGTATGAATGTTGGTACCATTACTGAAGGACTAAATGACCTTTTTCCTCTCACTATTGCTTTTTTGGGAAAACAGTGGGTCGGACACAAAATGATTTTAACCTGTTCTCTTTCTAGCTGAATAACTCAAAGAGTTTTTTGGTGATTCTTATGACATATGATGTCAAAATAGCTAAATGTCTTATCTGAAAACCTGGAAAAAATTAAACTCAATTAGTTTAGTGTTTTTTTTAGATATTAAACATTTTGTGGAGTGGAAAAAAAATATATATATATATAAAGAAATACATTCTGACAAGGCCAATGTATTACCAGAACAACCGCACACCACAGACATAGTGGTAAATTTCATCAACTCAATGAAGACAGCTTCAAGAATATGTGGTAGGGACAAATGGCTATGATGATTAATTTAGCAAAAATGCCAATGATTTGTCATAAAGGAACACAGGTAAACAGACAGCTGATGTCAAACAAGCAGATGAATTTGCCATTAGAATTGAGTAAAGGTAAAAAAATCTTACAGCATAACTTTCAAGCACTGACTGCAATAAAGCAGCTGACCATTTTGCTAGTTTATGCTGTACAAACTCTACCATAGATAAAATGGTTGGCAAAGGTACATTATCATTAGGGATTCTGGGAAAAAACCTACATGCCTGATAGTTTCATAAATATCTACCAGAAGAATTTTTGACCAACCTGGGTAAATACTTTTGAAAGTTTAACTCACTCAATTTTGTCTTATGTGTTTTATTTGGTTCTAATATTATAAGTTTTTATCCATCACCCAAAACTGCTATTATTTTTTCCATGTAATTACCACACCTAAATGCTTATCAGGTTAGTACATTATTAAAGTGTTAAGATTTTAACAACATGAAAGGGTACCAGCTTATGTCTGGGCTAAGTCAAAAGTTATTTGAATTCTTATACATGAAATAAGCTTTGGAGTAAAGGTCTGTAAAAAATGAAAATACTTTCAATACAGTTTTCTATATATAATAATAATAACATATTGGTGTCATAATCTTGAAATATGTATAGGAAATAACCTTTGGAGGATGGATCAGTAAAAAATGAAAATATTTTTGATAATTTGTCTGAATTTCTTGGATGAGCAGTTATCATTATATACCTTAAATAATGAAATTCCTTGAATGTTGCTCTGATTGGCAAGTGCCTGATGAAGAATGGTAAGCACAACATCTGAAATATTGTGATAACAACAACAGAAATCAGGACAATAGTTCATGTGTAAGTAATGCAAATACATTTGAAATATTCTAATTGGACACCACATAGGTCAGCATAAGTTTCTCATCCTTCTCAAGCTAGGAACAGAGAATATTGCAAATTTATACAACAAGCTAGCATTTAAACTCAGATGACGACGATAAGTAATTCTCCATATTTTTAAGTCTTTAATTTTGGAATTCTCTAATTTCTGGATTCAGTGTCAGAAACAAAATAATTTCATCAATTTAATGTTTTTGAAAATGTCAAATGTTAATGACGACATTTTCCTAACTGCATAATTATATCCAGACATGAAAAAATCCTACCTTGGATTTACTGACAGAAACTTTAATTACACTGTTGGTATTCTCCTTCTTTTATGTGTCATGTCCCTTCAGGACGTGTACAATCATGGCTCTCCACAATTTCCTGTCTTTTGTAGCTCTTAGTTAATTTTGTCTCTTTGCTATCTCTCCTAATCCCTGTTCTGTCAACCATTTAGACAAGCTGAGTTAAGTAGGTTATGCATTGTTTTCCTCTGTTTGCCTTGCTTTCAGTTTTGTGAGTATCAAATTTTCTAAGCCCTCATTACATAAGTCCTAGTAATTTCAACTCTTTCTGATGTTACATATGAGTGTCTGTTTTGTTTTCATTTTCTCTAAAACTTTATTGTTTCTCACATGTTCAGTCCATAGTATCCTCAGCATACTTCTGTTGAACTTCATTTCTGTTGTCTCAATTACTCAATTGTTACCTATCCAATTTGACACATTCTACTGAGGAACATATGAATCTGCTAAGCTTAATGTATATCAATGTATTACGTTTCAAGTCATCATTTGAAGTTGAGAAAATGTCATGTGTCAATGCACAAAAACTGCAAGTGTTGAATTCATTGAGGAAAGAGAGTGAAACAAAATGAATTAGAATTTTTTTTTTTCCGATCCAGAATGTTTTTGTGTAGAGAAAGTTCAAGAATAGTTCCTGAAAGAAAGCAAAAATTCAAGGAAAGTTCTTAAGTGATTCTTTGTATAAAAAAAAAAAATAGTTGAATTTAAAATGCTGGTGAGTTAAAGAGTGGGTGACGTTTATTGTCTAAGCCATGCGCATCTATTACAGTGAGTGCCACTTTTTGTGTCTTACCTTTGATCTTGGCACAAAGTGAAAGTGAACTAGCCTCTTGGGATTTGCATATTTTATTTTTTTACACGTTCACAAAAAAAAGCAAAAATATATAACACCTGTTACAATATAAAAACAAAAGTCAAGTTACCAGTTTAAATAATAAGTCAAGACAAAATGTCAAGACACTGGGCTGAATCATGTCTCCCAATCTAGTCACTAATGAAAAACTCATGAATGACAAAATATATGATAATGAATGTCACTTTTCTTTTCTCTTCTTTTTTAATTCATAGATTGTCTGTCTTGGATGAAGATGCTTTTGGTTATGATTTCATTGGAGAATACCGTGTACCTTTAAAAAGACTGAAGCCAAATGAAACGAAAAACTTCTCTGTTTATTTGGAAAACCCTCTTCCTGTAAGTGATATCTGAATGTATTATATAATAACCTGATTGTCTGCTCACCCATGCATACACACTACAGATGATATAGATATGGGGAAAGAATTCTTATTTTAGATAACAATAATATCAGTATCTATGTAAATATATTCAGAAAAAAAATATATATTCACTGAAATATATATGTAAATATGTTTAAATATACAATGGATAGATATATATATATATATATATATATATATATATATATATATGTTTCATTTTCATTAAACAATATAGACAAGTTTTGTCTATTTATTTTAAGTAAGTTCCTTTCAAAACCTAATCTGAACAAAATAAACTACGAAATCTCCACAAATATTCTTAAATACCTATAATTGATAACAGAAGCCATTGGTTTATACCAACAGCTTCCCATACTTAATACTTCTCGTTTTCACTCTTGCGTGGTCATGTGTGACATCACGAGCTGCGACGCGATTTTCGCTTCCGAGTCTTGTATACACAAGTTAGTCATTGCTTTGAAATTTTTGTATTCTGTGTATTGGTTGACATATTGAAAAGTAATTGTCATCTTTGATAATGGCTTATGTAAGCCAAAAGCTTAGATTGGATTTAAACATGTATCAATATGGTGATTTCCTTTCATCTTTCAATGATAATGTTATTAAGCTTATCAGACAATATGAAAGGAACTTAAAAATAATTAGTCAAAACTTGTCCGCATTATATAATGAAACATGCATCAATGAAAAATTGCTGCCTAAATATACAATATATATATATATATATATATATATATATATATAATATATATAAAATATATCCAGTGGATATATATATACAAATTTATATATTATATTTATATGCAAATATGTTTAAATATAATGTGGATGTGAGTGTACATATATGTAGTTATAGTGATTTTACAAGCATAGTTTAGATGTGACACACAGCCAAAAGTATGGTGCACCCAGTGAGGATTGAACTCACCACTCAGTTGTAATTGTTCTAGTGAGATAAGCTTTCTAACCATTACACCACCTCAAGGTGCCCATATATCTAGTTATACACAGTGATGTAAAAATGATTATTTCATTTTATATATATATATATATATATATATATATATATATATATATATATGTGTGTGTGTGTGTGTGTGTGTGCAAAGACAGGGCTATCAAGTTCAATAAACATAAATTTTATAAATAAATGCATAAAACACTAAATATAAAGTTTATTATATTTCTATTAATATTATATTTAGGGGCTACATTTCTTTGAATAGATATTTGGGGGCTACATGTGTTTGAACTGATATCACTGTTTTTTTTTTTAAATAGCCAACCAGCCTAGAGATCAAGATGCTTTGCTGTGATAGCTTCTCATAGCCTACTGGTAAACCACAGTCAGTTATGTGCTATGCGTGATATATGTTTAGGTAATCATATATCTTTCGATACATGACTGACAAAGCAGATTTTTTTCTGCAGTAGGTTTCCACTTCTTTCTACAGTAGACCAGTTGCCATCCAAGGCTATAAAACCTGGTCTGTCCTGCTATTTACCCATAGCTGGGGGAGAAGAAGAGGATTCATATCTTTCCCAAGGGTGCTAGCACATAAGTGAATGTAATGGATTCGACTGGAATTTGAACTTGGCTCTCTCTAAGCTGGTAGAAATTAATTTCACTATTTGGTAAAACATGTCTACTCTAACATGTGAGGCACTGACATAATTTTTTATGGCCATAAAATCTGAGCGATATCAGCTTATGCCCCAACTGAAACAAGTGTTGTTACTGAAAAAGAGAAGTTCAACACAGGATTTACTAAGCTCTGAGTATTAGGAAAAAATAGAAACTGCGTATTAATGGAAATTTTAATGCTACCTCTAGTATTTTTGAACTCTACTGTTCCTTTGAAGACATCACTCAAACAGCTCTTGTTAAATTTTTTGTTATTCAAAAAGACATTCCATTCTAAACAAATGGTTTGGTCATCCCATAAAACACTAGATCACATAATATAGCCCAGATAACATAACCAACAAGATTATTGATTTCAGTATCTCAGATTCATGTTAGAATATTACTCCTACTTTGAATCTGATCACAGACTTCTTGTAACAAAATTGACAATGCCAGCCAATAAAATAGCTCACTTACATAAACCATGAAAGCCATGAACATATAACATACAAGCCTTCAAAAATGAAAGTATAAGAGTAGAATTCTGTGATAAACTAGAGTGCTAATAGATAGATTGATGTCCCTAAATTTTGACCAAAGCAACATAGAGGAATCAAATAATGTTAGCCAAAACATGAGAAGCCATTCCAAGAACACCTAAATGGGAAAAGCTACAAAAAAAAACAGGATTGAAGGCAGATTGCACTTAAATATAACTATGATTACTGTTTCTTTTTTACCACAACCATCAAAATTTACTATACCACTTTACACTCATTCAAGTAAATCTGTTTAATAAATCCTGCTCATGCTATCAAACATTACATGAACAGCTAGTTTAAAAAAAAACTGCTAAAAAAAACAAAATATTAATAATAATAATCATCTCTTTAATCCTTATTCTTGCTTGTTTTATAAATTTGCAATATTCTCTGTTCCCAGCTTGAGAAGGATGATGAGCTTATGATGACTGAACGGGGAAAGGTGCTTATAACCCTTACCTATGTGGTGGCCAAGCAGGTCCTCATTGTCGGAATTGTCCGCTGTGCCAGCCTTGCCTCAATGGATACTAATGGGTATTCTGATCCATATGTGAAAGTGTGAGTTTAAACTTTACTTTTTGTTTCAATTCCACAAATAAATGGCTCCTAATCTTGTCTGATTCCCTCAGTAAAAATTAAAACACTGAATGCACATTCACCCCCAGTGTATCTCCCTCCAGTATTATACTCCCAGTGTATCTCCCTCCAGTATTATACTCCCAGTGTATCTCCCTCCAGTATTATACTCCCAGTGTATCTCCCTCCAACATTACATTATGAAAAGAAAATCTTTACCTATTGACATATTTTATGCCTTCATCCTTGGTTGGTTGTTTTTATTTAGTGACATATCAATGACTCTATGGGTTATTTAATGCCAAAATCTAAATATTTTAATTTCAGAGATAATAATGTTTTAATGATGCAAGTCTTACAAATTAACCCATACCTGGAGAGGGAGAAGAGGCAGATTCATACCTTTGCACATAAGTAAATAGAACAAACCCAACTGTAATTGAGCCTCATCAACTGCTGATTAATATCCAGGATTAAATTGATGATTCAACTGCTGATTAATACCCAGGATCAAATTAATCCTTCACCAACTGGTACAGTTTTTTTACAGTATCATTAGGAATCAACAAAGATAGAGAAATTCTTTTTTTCTGAGATAAACCTAACTCAATTTGGGGTTTAAAGTGTGGTTTGTATCCCCTAAATTCCAACCCATATGCAATTAGCTAACCTCATGCACTTCAAATATCCCAGTGTATGGACCAGTTATAACATATTTATTATCTATCTATCTATCTATCTATCTATCTATCTATCTATATTTCTCATGTTGTCTGTCTGTGTCTCTGTCAGGCCGCATTTCTCACCCAATTTCGATGCAGTTTTCAACACAAGTTTGCAAATGGCTGCCGTAAGGACATGACAGAGCCCGATTTTTGAGTTCGGAATCAGGTTCCGAATATCGAAAAAATCGATAATTGAAAAAATAATTGAAAAAATTCTGCTGATGGAAGGAATGATCGCATTTCAACCAAATTTGACACCCTCTTAGAGTCTACCATTAGAAGTGTTGTCCAGAAGTTTCATGACCATGGACCCCCTAAACAGCGTGGAAAATCGATAAAACCCAAAACCGATACGCCCAGATTGCGTCTGAACCGCATGTCAGTTTTTAGCGAAAACCGAGTGGATTTATGAAGAGTCCATTGGGAGTCATCATGTGAAGTTTCAACTCTGAGCACCCCCCAAACAGAGTGCAAATCGACAATCGGTCAACCCGTAAAAATGTTTTTTCCGGTTTTTAAAGCTGATCATATTGTGTTTATTTTTGTTTAGTTCTTTTTCATAACAGATTTAATGTTTACTATAGAGCTTAGAAAAAGTTAGCAGTGTGATATAGGCAAGAAGTAAGGCATGTAACAACATCAGCACAGCAAAGGGCACTCCTCTAAAGGCAAGGAAGGGCAAAAATATTTTAAGTCAAGTGATAGCGATTGCTGTATTAGTCGTACTATTTTTTAATCAAGCCCGGAAAACGCCGGGCCATGCTGCTAGTATTAGATAAGGAAATTGAACATAGAAAAGTCTGCACTCTGGGTAGTTTCAACCAACACTATACACTACTACAAAACTAGTGCTTTAACCTAAAACATCAAGTCATGTTCTGAAATAGCCTCATCAGATCAAAACTTTCATGTAGATGTCATTTCATTCAGAAATATCTAAAGTATCAGCTGTAACACAACTACTTTCTCAGATCAATGATAAAAATGGCATTGAAGAAATGAAGCCTGTAGGTTTTTGCAATGACCATCTTTCTCTGAACCTTGTGAACTGGTAGCACTTAATAACAAACAAAATAGCGGAAGCCACATCACTTGAAGACTTTCAGCTACAATAACAACTATAACTTGAAGAGAAAATAATGACATAATCAAGTTGATTCACTGTGTCATGCCAGAAATATTTTTCTCATCAGAATCCATTTTGCACATTTATAAATCTACCATCCATTCATGCATTGAATACTGTTGCCGTGTCTGGTCTAGTGCTCCTGCTGTTCATGTGGAGATTCTTGACAAAATCCTAAGGATTGATAATATAATCAATCCTCATCAGGTATCTCAACATCAGTCACTTTCTCACAGAGGTGACATGGCTTCCCTCTGTCTTTTTTACAAATATTTTCAAGGCAACTGCTCTGACAAGCTTTTTTCCCTAGTGTCCTGACTACATGAATTTAAGCGTGCTACTAGATTGGCAACTAGGTTCTACCATTTTACCGTTGAAATACCTACATACAATGCTAATTCTATTCCAACAGTTTCTTTTATCACACTTCCCACCTGTGGAACTCCCTTCCAATTTCTTGCTTCCCTGATAACTACAATCTTCAAAAATTTAAATGCAATTGCTTTCTTCTATCTTTTTGAACCCTGTTCAATTTTTGGCCTTTCCTCAATTTTTCCCATTCTCAGTCTTCTCATTCTTTTTTCACTTTCACTCCCTGTAACAGCCTGTGTATTCATGGCATTACTACCTTGCTTAGGGTGAAATGATTAAAAAAAAATGTTGACATTCCACATTACTTTAAACAAAAGGTTAGGAAGGAAACACCCATCCATACTGAAAAGAACAATAACAGTGAATTTGAGAAAACTATTTTCCTGAAAAATTGTTTTCAAAGAAAGATTTTATAAATTTAAACTGACAATAGCACTGGCAGCTTGGTTAATGAAAGCTGAATGTTTCCTTATAAGGAAACAGCAAAATTTAACATTACTGTTACATTTGAAAATGTTGTCGCCTATAAACATGTGCTGAAATTAATTGCCAGTTAAAAAAAAATTGGTAGAACATCTTTCAATCAAAAGTCATTTGTACTTTCTTTGTATTTATTTTTCAGCACAGCACTTCAGGTCAATCTCCTCTCATTGTAACATCTAACATCAGGTCCTTAATGATGTATAAAAAAAAGACATTTTTAAAATTTTATATCTGTTAAAGGAAAATAATATAAAAATCATTATTAAGCATAGCCAGCAGTCCAGTCCCACTTCTGAGCCACCAGACTTTCTGATCCTCATATATAATGATGAACTTTATGTCACTTTTTTACCTAGCATTGTATGACTCATAAAGATGTTGAAAAGCCAAAATCTCTGCTTTTTTTTTTTTTTAATTATTTCAATAAAGTCCATTGCAGATTCAGGCATTTTATGCCTGCTAACATGAATATAATTTGAAGTATCTCTGAAAAAGACATTGATGAAAATTTTGCCAATAAAAAGGACATAGTTAAATCTCACTAATGATTGTGAAAGTTATTGCTTATGATATTTGTGAGCTGGTGAGTGTTCCTAGAACTTACAGACTTTTATATATATATATATATATATATATATATATGGAACTGAATTTCTGTTGAGTGATATGCATATAACCCTTTCTATGCTTTCTGCTATCATTTCTAGATCCCCACAGAGCATGTGGGCCTGATGGTATCCTTGTAATACTCATTAAGAGGCACGGTGGGGTAATGGATAGCGGCTTGGATTGAAGAATCAGAGAGCCGAGTTCAAATTCCAGTCGAATCCATTACATTCACTTACGTGCTAACACCCTTGGGAAAGGTGTGAATTCTCTTTCTTCTCCCTCCAGCTATGGATAAATAGCAGGACAGACTGGGTTCTATAGCCTTGGATGGCAACTGGTCTCGGAGAAGGAAAACTCTAAATTCAAACCTGCTCTTAAAGGAGGGGTGAATGGAGTCTCTGAGCCTTGGTTTGGCAATCCATTTAGTGTTGGTGTCACGATAAAAAAACACCCTTGATAGCCCTAGCCTGAAGCATCAAGAATTCAGCTATTTGACAAGATTATGAACTACACCAATCAAAGTATTGGTGAGTTCAATCTCGGCTGAGGCTGCAAGATGATGATGATGATGAAGTGTATTCCCAGACTGGCTCTGTTCTCTCTAAACTATATAATAAATACCTCACTATGTTCTGCCTTTCTGTCTGCTAGAATTCATCATCTGTTTTTAAGAAATCTGGTGAACTGTCTGGCCCTTCCAACTATTAGCCATCTATCTCTATTTGGGAAACTCCTATAGGCCTTAATCAATACAGAATTGGTTCATCATCTCTTGTCGCAGGGCCTTTTCTCAGACAAGCAATATGGCTTTCATTTCTCCAGGTCAATTGCTGATGTAACAATAATTGCGGAAAGAGTCTATGATGTTCTAGATAAAATTTGGGAAACCTGGGCTGTAGCTACAGCCCAGGTTTGACAGGGTTTTGCATAAAGGTCTTCTCCACAAGCTGAAAAGTTACAGTGTTGCTGAACACATTTTTGAACTGATCCAGTCTTTTCTATCAAACTGTGAAATGAAGGCTATCTTGAATGGCCACTCATCTAGATCCTTTTGTACTAGCATGGATGTTCCCTATCCTTGGTCCTACTCTGTTTTAATTTTCATTAATAACATTCCTGATGACAAAAGCTCTCAACTTGGCATCTATACTGACAACTCCTGCCTCAATAGTAAGGCTGATCAGTCAGACACGGTCAAAATCACAGCTGATGTCCAAAATGACCTCAGTGCAAAAAAAAGATGGCTTGTTAATTTTAACGCCTCCAAAACTAAACTTCTTTCCATTAATCATCTGAGATACTCTTCTCGGCATAGCTGATGCTAACTTCCAGGAAAGTGACTCATTGCACCTTCTCAGCTGACATGAAGTGGAAAGATTATATTGAATGCATTGCTAGGTCAGTTGCCAAGAAAGTTGGTTCACTTTGTAATGCAAAACAGTTTTTCTCTCCAGAATCTATCTTACATATCTACTATTCACCTAGGCTTAGAATATTGCTGCCACATGTGATCCAATGTTCCTGGTATTTACTTACATATCCTTGATAAAATCCAAAGAGGAATCATCAATATTATTGGTCTTGATCTGGCAACTTGGTTTCAGTTACTTACTCACCACCATAAGGTTGCCACTCTGCCTTTTCTATAAATACTTTCATGGTAATTGTTCAGATGAGCTCTTCGCTATGGTGCTTAGATTTTTTTCAATTTAAGTGTGTGTTTATATGTGTTCATGTTATGATATATATATATATATATATTGGTAAATAAATATCAAATTTACAAGGTTATCAATACACAGACACAATGTATAGACGTGTGTTTTTGTAACACTTTTTTACATCTCTAAACGTGCCTTCTTCATAGAGATGTGAAAATTTTCCATCTCTAAATGGTTGACTCTTCTGGTGATGCCATATATTCAAAATATTGTGTTGGAGGAATTCTTAAATTCATGTATGAATCAATAAATATACTCTTAGAGTAAGTCGTTTAAATAAAGAAAGGTCTGTAATGTTATTGGTTTTAACCTGACATCTCAAGATGTCCCTTTCCCACTGCCATAACATGTCTTCCCTCTGTCTTTTCTAAAAATATTTCCATAGCAATTTTTTCCAATGAGCTTTCCCACTTCTACCCTGTCCACATGAATTTAAGTGTACTACTAGATCAGTTATTAAGTTTCATTGTTTTACTGTTGAAATAACTAGATTGTTGAAGCTTGGATAAGCATGGAATAATAATAATACAACACAAAATGTACGTAAACAAAATGTATTGAAACAAGGAAAAAGTACACAATATTTACAGTTAGTTTTGGTATATTCTTGGGAAGACTGTTCCTGTAGAATGGGTTGACTTAATCGCAGTCGGGCAGAGTCTCTCGATTCGATCTCTTCTTCCTTCTCCCCTGGTCTTCCGGTACCAACCCATATTTATATCGGTCGGTACTCCACTATGTAAATTAGGTGGATTGTACCACAACATAGATGTAACCATTTTCTTTTCTAATAGTTTTTTTCTCACACTTCTCACTTGTGGAACTCTCCTTGCTTTCTTGTCACTTACAATATTCAAAAGTTTACATGCAATATAAGTGGTCATTTTTGTTTTCCTTAATCCTATTCTTTTATTAGTTTTTCCCTCATTAACCTTTACCCAGGAACCCCTTGCATCCCAGTGGCATTATCACCTTGTTTGGGATGAAATGATTAAAAAAGAAATTGTCAGGTTTGTCCAGTTGGTTCACTGTATCATGCTAGACAATTTTCCTCACCAGAATCCATCTTACATATTTATAAGTCTACCATTCATCCAGGCATTGAATATTGCTACCACATCTGGTCTGGTGCTTCTGCTATATTCTTGATAAAATCCAAAGAAGAATCTGCAATGCTATTAGTTCTGACCTGACATCTCAGGTTCAGTGTTTCTGCTATGTATTTGAATAAAGCCACAAAGAAACAAATGGTAACTGAGGAAGGAAACTGAAACAAATGTTATTAAGGAAAAAGGTGAATAAAAAGAACAGGATTCAAAAAAACAGATGACAATTGATGTTGCATTTAAATTTTTGAAGATTATAGTTGACAGGAGAACAAGAATCCAGAAGAGGGAGAAGTGCAAGAGAAGAAACTATTAGAATAGGACTCATGGTTAAATCTAGCACTTTCACCAGTAAAATGATGACACCTAGCTGCCAATTTACAAGGTGTTCCAAAAGTCATATGACAATTGGTAGAAAATATACACTTGACTTGTGAAATAGCAACCAGGGAAATTTTGTATGACATCATCTTCCATAATTCAACCAATAAAATTTCTTAATAATATATTGTCACATACAGAAACATAATTCCATTTGGTAAATAAATATAAAATTTACAAGGTTATCAATGGCAATGCAACTTTGGAACATCCTCTAGAACTATGCTTAACTTCATTAAATTGACCTTCCAAAGAGAAAAGCTCATCAGAACTGCTTCCTTTTTATTGAGCCATATAGTGTATATGGCTCATACAAATAATAGGTACATTTTTCTGTTAGCAAATGATTTTAAAAATCTGAAAAATTAATTTCATTTATTATAATTGTTTTTATTTATAGCAAAAAGACAAGGTAGATAATCAATTGTTATTTTAATTTTACTTTTAATATCTTAAAAAATATTAAGTATAAAATATAAACAAAACAATGCCAAATGAAAAATTAAGGTTTTAATGTGAAAATATAATGTAATTACAATACCTAAATATGCCATAATTTTTATGGCACAGATAAAATAGTAAAGATATAATTGCAATGTGAATTTTTCTTCTTTTTTTTTAGCTACTTAAAGCCAGACAAGAACAAGAAATCAAAATTCAAGACTTCAGTCAAGAAGAAGACATTGAATCCTGAATATCATGAGGTTTGTGTCTTAAGAATTTTATTTAGATTCCAGTTCTGGTATTAAATGGTTTAATGACTTAAGCTTACCATAAGGATCCACGGTGGAGTAATGGATAGTGGTTCAGATTGAGAAATTGGAGAGCTGAGTTCGAATTTCAATCAAATGCATTACATTCACTTATGTGCTAATACCCTTGGGAAAAGTATGAATCCTCTTCTTCTCCCCCCAGCTATGAGTAAATAGCAGAACAGACCAGGTTCTATGGCCTTGGATGGCAACTGGTCTACTGTAGAAAGAAATGGCAACCTACTGCAGGAAGAAATCTGCCTCATCAGTTATGTGTCAAAAGATACCTCATTGCCTAAGCATGTATCACACATGGCACATAACTGACTGACCATATTGCAGTAATTATTGTTATCTTTATTTTCTTACTTTTTTTTCTCAATCTTTAATCTGGCCCATTCTCTAAACTAGAGTTGTCCAACCATTTTTCCTAATGGGCCAAATTAGAAATTTCAGCATATTCACCAGGCCACAAAAGTACTTTATATAAATACGCTTTTAAAAAGTTCAAAACATTGTGAATATCAAATTTTAATAAAAAATATGTATAATTACAAAAAATACTGTATTATTGACAGTAAAAAAAGAAATTATATATTCACAAAATAAAATAGATTCAATTTAATTTTTGACATTGCTTTCCTTTTATAATATTGTCAATATCTACTTTAATGGTACTAGTCTTTATTCTAAGGACATTAGTTAAATGGGAATCACTCAACCTTTTTTTTCCAGAAGTTTTGATGTTTTTCATGCACATAAAAAATTGTCCACAGCAATATGTACTACTCCACATGCGTATAGTTTTCTAGATAAACTAAATAATGTTTATTTAGTTCTGGCTCTTACTCCATGTACCAGCTGGTGTGTCTCAGCAAAGACCTTTGCCCATCTTACCCTTTTACTGCAATGGGAAAGTAAACCTACTAGCACTATCTGAGAATAATTTTCTTAACATACATTACTAAAGTAAATGAAAATATACCTAAAGATTTTAGGGTACAGTGGGCCACATGAAAATATTAAGTGGGCTGCAGTGTGGCCATCTCTGCACTAAACCCTCCATCTTTAAAACAAATGTATCTAATCCAAAATAATTTTTAAACTGTCTTATTTATTAATTACCTCATTCATTAGGAGAGTGCTGAAAAATTGTCCAACAGAATTATTTGGGGGAAAAAAAAATCAATATAGGTAAGTACTAAAAGTAATTTCCTCTTTTTAAACGCCATGTCCCTTCATGAAATAGATGATCATGGCTCTCCACAGATTCCCTTCCTGTATTATCTGAGAATATCCATGGCTCATGGATTATAGCCATATCACATTAAAACACCTTTTCCCAACACAATCACCAAAGCTAAGCAATGTCAATCCTGGGTAGTATCTGTTATGTTTGTTATATTTACTTACACACAAATACCTTTGGCAAAGATATATATCTCTAAATTATTATTATCTCAAAAAAATTGTTACAATCTAAAAATATTTTCTGGCTTTAAATAATAATAAGCCATAGAAAATGAATGAATCAGACAATCAGAATTCCCATGACTTCTTTGGAAAAATAAATGTAGTGTATTTCTGTTGCTTCTCCATGGTTTTGAATTCAGAGTAGTCCTTATCCTAGACTGGCTTCTAGTCAAGGCTAGAGTTAAGTCTGCCTTGCTATTTAACCCATAACTGGGAGGAATAGATGAATTAATGCCTTTTAGAAGGGTATAAATGCAAAAGTGACTACAACATGCTAAACCAAAATTTGTACTAAGCTCAAATATGTAGGAAATTAATTATTATCAGAAAATAAGTGAATAAAATTCATAAAAGTTCCTGCAATGTTTAAATTTTTGCAAAAATTCTTTTTACAGCATGAAAGTAATTCTAAAATTCATGCTTATTGGTAATCAATCCCATTCCATTTTATTCTGTTAGCACATTTTGTGCTGCCACTGTGGTTACCACTTCCCTCCATCTCACAATTGCAGTTCATGGTGACATTCAAGGCAAGAATAGTGCAATTCCTTTTACACCAGGGATGTTGAGGCTACCCACATCCTCCCTCTTAGAGGTGGATTTGTTTTTTGAAGTTCTTCTAGCCTTTTCCTAAAGTGGCATGACCTACAAATTCAGCAGTCAGTTTGAAATCAGTTTCTTTCTCCTAGACTGGTTGCCACCCAAGGCTATGATCCAGTCTATTCCACTACTTTACCCATAGCTGAATATAATGAACTCAAGTGGAATTTGAACTCAGCTCTTCAATTTCTCAATCCAAGCCCCTAACCATTACACCACCGTACCTCCACTGGTAATCAATATTTGTATTTGATAATGATATAAGAATAAAATTAAAAAGTATAACCAAAATTGCTAATGACATATTTTTAATTAAATACAGATGAGCTCTGAGCATATTTTTTTCATATGACCTTCGTTATTTGTGTCTTAAAATTGCCTGGCAGACAAGGTTCTTCATTCTGCTTCATTTCCATCTTAAATTCCTTTTTGGATGTAAACTGTTTTGTTTTTTAAATTGACCTTTCCGTCTGTCTTGCGATTTGGGGCTTTAATTATGTTATTTAATTTATTAAGTTCTTCTGTAAGTAAATTATTGATTTCATGTTAATTTTTTTTTAAATTTGTCTCTATTTCAGGAGTTTTCTTATGAAATAAAACATATTGATCTTTCTAAAAAGACTTTAGAAGTAACTGTTTGGGATAAAGACATTGGAAAATCTAATGATTTT